AAACTTGGGAAAGTGTGAACAGGTAAGTGGCATCTTCTCTACCATATTCTTTATTTTATTCAAATTTCAAGTGTTTTGTGAGAATTTGATCTTTCTATTCTGAGCTCATAGCATGCAATCTAGTTTTGTTGCAATTAATATATCATTTCTGGTAATCAAGCAATAGAAGGAGGATTCATTAATGATCGTCCATCTGCTTCAGTTGCAACTTTTGGGTTTTTAGTGGAGTTGAAACTTTAATTGTTAAATAACTGAATGTTTGTGTCATTTGGAAACATACCATCTTAAAACCCTTATTTCTGTCTCTTTGCATTATATTCTGAAAAGATGTTTCTCTATTTGTTACAGTTTTTTTTGGAATTGATGAAAGTTCCACGGGTGGAGTCAAAGTTAAGGGTTTTCTCATTTAAGATACAATTTTGTTCCCAGGTAAGAGGGAAAGCTATAGCATGCTTTCCAGATGCTTCTAATTGGTGTTCTTACTGGAGTAGGTCCTTATTCCACTTTTTCTGTTCTTTTCAGGTTTCTGATCTTAGGAAGAGCTTGAATATTGTAAATTCTGCAGCTGAGGAGGCAAGTTGGTTTACTCTGAATTCCTTAGATCCTCAAGTGTAGGTGTCTTTTCTTTGAACACTTGCACTAAAACTATTTTTTCTTATATTTTCATCAGGTTAGAAATTCAGTTAAGTTGAAAAGGATCATGCAAACTATCCTTTCTCTGGGTAATGCATTGAACCATGGAACTGCAAGGGGTGAGTGAATTTAGTTGATTGTATTGAAAATTGACTTAATAATGTTGCAATATAATGTGAAGTGTCCTTCGAGAAATTTTCAAGAATTCTTTTACCAGTGCAAGTGGGCCAATCATTTCTTTTCCCATTCTCTATTGTTGGATTTTCTTTGAACTACAGGTTATGGTTGTTTGGGGACAAGCATTTTTTTTTTACGTCTCCATGAGCGTAGAATGTTTTACTAGAACAAATAAGAAAATAGTGTTATATCTTTTTGCAATGTAACCAGAATAGTTAAAGTGGAAAGAAAGTAAAAATAGGAAGGTTAGCGAGTGTACTCTTAATGAGTGTGAGCCTTCTCCCTTGGATAGAAATTTTCTTTTCCAACCTGCAAGTCTCTCAATGGAGTCAATAACTGGTTCCCAAGTGCTTGAGTCTTTGTATTTAGATCTCAATGGGATGGCCAAATATAAAATAGTTCACTTGGCAGCTTTGCATCCCATAATGTCAGCAAGGTAGTTTTCATCCCTTGTGTCCGCAA